TTTTTAGAATTAGGAGAGCAGTTTTAAAATAAAAAAAGCTTTATATAATATAGATTTAATATAAGGTTTTGATTTTACTAATATGTAGTATAATTCAGTTATAGTTTATAGTAAAACAGACCATAGTCCAATTTGCCTGACATTCACAAACACTAGTAACAAAATTTTTTAAAATATCCTTTCCACGAGGTGTATGAGTAACTTCTGGATGAAATTGTATTCCAAACAAGTATTTTTCTTCATGGATGATAGCAGCAAATGGAGAAGTTTGGGTGTAACCAATGACCTTAAAACCATCGGGTGCTCTATCAAGTTGATCCCCGTGACTCATCCAAACCTGTCAACAATTTTAAACATCAATAACAATGAGAATTATTTGCTCGCAACGATTACATACATGGTCCCACCTGAATATCACCTTCAAGACCATCGAACAACTTATTGGTAAATGGATGACCTTGATGCTTGATGATATTTAAGATCGCATGACCGTATTCTCTGTGATCACAAGGTGCAACTGAACCACCAAAATTCCACGAAATTTCCTAAAAATTGAATATAATATATATTTATATTTATGTTTCAATTTGATTTAGTTGCTAACGCATGAATGCTTTTTAACATTAATTTTAATTACTTGAAGCCCGTAACAAATGCCTAGTACTGGTACTCCAAGATTAAAAACCATTGGGTCAACGTGTGGAGCATCTTTATCATACACAGAATATGGACTCCCTGAAAGAATTATTCCTATTTCATCAAAAGGAGTAAATTCGCCAAATTTAATCTTGATTTGCTAAATATTTACATCCATATTATTATTTTGAATAATTTATTAAATATTTTTAACCTTTTGGATTAAAATTTAACTCATTGATCTTTTGAGTGCAAGGTAACATTTCACAATAAATGCCAAATTCGCGTACTCGACGAGCAATCAAATGAGAATATTGTGAACCAAAATCGAGAATTAAAATGGTATCATATAGAGAATGAACTTGTGTGACTTGTTCTTGGTCCATTTTATTTAGTAGCAACTTCTAATATTTTTATTCTATCGTCTAAAGCAACAGATCTATCTATCTTTTTAAATTCGAGAGATAAAACCTGCACATCTAACATATCTGAGTGATGGACATCATGTTAAAGAATTATGTAAAGTGATTGGCGCAAATTATAAGATGTTACACTTGAATCAGATATAAACTGTGTACCAATTATCTTTTAAACTGATTTGCAGGCAAATTTTTGATCAAATTATTTTTACTAGTACCAATCTATATTTTTTTTCTTTAGTAGTTATAAACTTATTTTATCTGGGTTATTTGCTTTATGTGGTCTGTTTTTTTAGTTTTATATTTAACACTGTTAAGAGCCTAGCTACCTCTTTATTTAGAACTTTGAATAGACTTTGATTCTTTTAGTCAGGGATGGCATGTTATAATATTGGACATTTGGACAATTTGGACAATTGGGTATTTGGACAATGTCCAATTGTCCAAATAATTGATTGGACATAGTAAATTTTTTTATTGGACATGAAAAAAAAAAAAATTTTGGCCTAAATTAAACTTAATTCGAGCCCATATTCACTAATACAAAATTATCTCTAATTTATAGTATATTTAAAGGGGGCTGGTAATTGCGGTTCAGCTCACTTCA